TGATAAAGCTTTGCCAATCTTGGCTCCAAAGAGTACTCTGGCTGCACCTTTTCCAAAGCATACCTATCCATTCTTTTGGCAGTCCATGGGCTGTTCAGTTCCCTAATACTACAACACAAAGATAACAATTCTTCTGTCATTCTTATTCACTGTCTCATTCTCAGATGCATAGAAAATAATTGAAAAGACCTTGGCCTGAATCAGGCACACCTTACTCTTCAAACTGACATCACTGCTTCTCAGTATTTTGGAGAGATATCTGACAGCACAATTGCCCGAAGCAATATGTCTCCTGATCACCTGACTGCTGCTATTAAGGGTATTGATTATGGATCCAGGCAAGATAAAATCACTAACATTTTCAATCCTTTCTCCATCTATCATGACATTGTCCACTGGCCCAGCAGTAAGGACCTTTGTCTTCTTGGTGTTAAGATGCAATATATATTGAAGGCAGTAGTCTTTGATCATCTGCATCAAGCACTTCATATTCCCCTTGATTTCAACAAGCAAGGTTGTGTCATCTGTGTAGTGCAGGTGGTTGATGAGGTCTATCCTAAAGTATAGTATTGTGAGTGATAGAATTATATCCATATACATACAAGGCAAACGTGTTAATGTGACTATTATTCAAATATATGCACCAATAATTAAAGCTGAAGGGGAGGAAATTTACCTTTCAGGCATTTGACAAACCAGTGACAGAGCTTTCAGCATCCCAGCAACCCCCAAGCTACGTCAGTACAGCAAACTGACAGACAAGTGGTATACTAATAAGAGCAATGATAAACATGCAAGAGTATAAGTACTTACGCTAGAAAGTCAGTAGCAATATGCACATAATTCCTCCAAACAACAAACTAATAGATGAGTGTTATACCTCTAACAGCAAATCATGCATATGCTTATCATTTTGCCAGATTCAGTTGAGGCCTGTGGCAGCCTGGCTGAATGGGGTATTAAACCATTCTGCTGAGACCCATGCTGGCAGAGTGGGGTAATGTCCCAGATGTGGATATTAAGGTCACAGTGATGTCTCTGATGAGTCTTCGATGTTGGTGCTCCACACAAGGAACTTCAACGCTCCTGTACAATTGATGCTCCTTAAAAATCTAATTCACCCACTCACTTGCTTATTATCAGTGAGTCTTAGTGGACTTGTAGCTGACCCTCCAGCAGGTTTTCAGAGACTGTAAGTTGCAGAAAGAGGAAATTGCCCATCTTTCTCCCACATGACTGCTGTTGGCAGCACAGCTCCTTACCTACGTAGGTCACCCAAGCCCTCCAGTTACTTGCTGATGTCCAGTGAAACAAAGATAATTGCTTCAGGGCATACAGCTAGTTAGGTAAAAACTTATTTAGGGCTAGAAGTCAGGTATTTAGACTCATTCAGTGTTTAAATACAATTAATTCTCTTTCCCATCTCATATATGTTTTTTTTTAGACTCTTAAGTGTATGAAGTATTGGAGATTTAGTCGTACAATTGTGTCTTCTGTGTGGGAGAACTGGATTCAATTACTAGTCAGTGCATCTCAGGCACAGCTACCACCCATCTGTCAGTGGAGGCCAGCATGTGCCTATGATGCTGAACAGATTTCAGCAGAGCTTCCAGACCAAAACTTAATAGAAAGGTTCTGAAGTCTCCTTCTAGAAATCTGCCCACGAAACCCCTGTAGGTCACCCTGCTCTGATCCACAAACCTGTACAGGATGGTATAGTTCCAGGCAGTGTCTCATTCAGTTGTACACGGCATTGCCCAAAACTAACAACAGCAAGTATGCGTGTATGCCGTATGTACAGCAAATATCTGCGCATGCTTATTCCAGTAAGAATAAATAAGATGTAAATAGGTGATGTTGTTGAGTACCGTCAAGTCAGAACTGATAGTTGACCCTCCAGTGGGATTTCAGAGGGAATTAGTCTCACAAGAGGAGATTATGTGTTATCATTTAACTTTTTGACAGTTTTATTACGTAAATGTGACTATTTCCTCAGCCTGTGTTCAGCTGCTAACTGAAAGGTTGGTGGTTCAAACTCACTAACAGCTGTGTGGGAGAAAGACATGGCAGTACTTTTAAAAAGATTTATATCCTAAAAACCCTGTGCAGGCAGTTCTATCCTATAGAGTCACTAAGAGTTGAAACCAAGTCAACAGCAATGGGCTCATCATTTACCAGTTTCCACTTGAAGATACTTTGGGCACTGAGAAGTGAAGTAACTTCAGGGGCAGTTCCTTTAGCCCGTGATTTCTCTGTGACTCAAGGCTGTGCTTCCATTAGCAAATATGTATTGCGTATCCACAATGGATGGTGCTCCATCTTTCTAATGGAGTCCAGATCGATTGTGAATATATCCATCACAGCAGCTGGGGGAGGTCACTGTAAAAAGAGGCAGGGACACAGAGTGGTAAGATTCAGAAAACAAAGTAGTAGACTGCACCAAGGTGGCTACACTTAAGTGATCTTGAAAATGCGTAGAGATTTGGTAGCAGAAGAGTTAATGTTGGTGAATAAAAGAAGAGAAAGGCCTACTGTGTTAAGGGAAAACTCAAAAGAGCGAGCAATTCAGAGAGGATAGTGGTTGTGGGGAAATGTTGAGAGATGATGCTAGAAAGGCATGTTGGGAGTAGCCTTTAAAGTATTTGCATCTGATTCTAAAGAATCGAATTCTGTCTTATAAACATAAAGGGGCCAACAGAGAAAAAAATTTAGTAGGTATTTTTGTTTCTTAAAATTTCTAGGGTAAAGTACCACAAACACATTGACTTTGTCTCACCGTTCTAGAGTCTAGTTCAAAATCAGAGTATTAGTAGGTCTTTGTCTCTGAAAGTTCTAGGTGAAGATCTTCTCTGCCCTTTGCAGCTTCTGGTGGTTCCTCACAGTCGGTGGTTTTTCTTGGTTTGTAGGTGTTTTTTATAGTCTTTACCTGCATCCCCACATTATCATCATCCCTATGTGTCTCTATATCACTTCTCTTTTTTTAAGGACATCAGTCACATTGGATGTTCCATGTGAACGTTTGCCCGAGTCTTTGTCCTAGACAGACTGAAGCTCTTCCTCCTTTGGTCCTCCCCTGTCATTGGCACAGTCTTCTTACTCTCTTGACACACATAAGCCTTGTTCCATTTACTTTTCCTGTCTTTTCTTACCTCTAAAAACTCAACTCCTTGGATGTAGGACCTGATCTTTGTGTCCTTAATTAGTTAATTCATTGACTGACATTTATTGAGCTCTCAATAAAAGGGTGATGAATGAATAAACTTTCTCTATAAAGTCAGTGACCAGAGTATGAAAAAATAAGAGATTAAATTTGGTAGTTGTTTTTTGTTTTGTAGTATTTTGTTTTTAGGTAGATCAGTGGTTGGAAAACTAGAGCCAGGCGAGGCCGAATCCAGCCTGTTTGTGTGAACATTTTATTGGAACCTAGCCATGGCTATTTGTTTGCATATTATCTATGGCAGCTTTCATTAGATGATGGCAATGTTGAATCATTGCAACAATAATTTCATGTGGCTTAAAATCCAAAAATATCAACTAACCAGTCCTTTACTTAAAATGTTTGCCAGCCTTGAATTAAATGAACCATAACATAAACACTGAAGGAAAGAAAGTAGCCACAACTTTGCCTTTTTTTCATTATCTTTTCATATATCTTCCATGTTTATTCAGCACTAGCAACTAAAACTCTTTAAAAATATATAGATGTATGAGAGTGCCAATCTCTCCACATTCTCTCCAACATTTATTACTTGCTGTCCTGTTAAATTTTACCACTGCTACTGGGGTGAGATGGTATCTCATTGTGGTTTTGCTTTGCATCTCTCTTATTACCAGTGATTTTGAGCATTTCTTCATGTGTTAGATGTCTTCCCCTATGAAAAAGTCTTTCCATGTCTTTTTCCCATTTTGTAATTGGCTTATCAGTCTTTTTCTTATAGAAGCCCTGTAGGATTCTGTAAACTTTCATTATGAAACCCCTGACTGAGATGTCACTGTCAAATATTATTTTTTACAATTGGTAAGTTTTCTTTTTACCCTATTGGAAAAAGATGTTGTTGGGATTGAAAAGTGGTACAACTCAGTTCGGCCTTTCTTCAAAAAGCTAAACCTAAAAATACCATATAAACCAACCATTCCACTGCTAGGAATATACTCCAAGGAAATGGGAACTGAGACATAAATGGGTATTTGTACACCGATGTTCACAGCAGTGTTATTAGCAATAACAACAAAACGGAAACAGCCCAAATGCCCATTAACAAATAAATGGATGGAGAGATTGTGGTACATTCACAGAATGGAATACTATTTTGAAAAATATGATATAACATGGAAGAGGCTGGAGACTATTTTTCTGAGTGAACTAACTCAGTCTCTTAAGGACACGCTGCATAAGACCATGATTGTGATAACAGAAGGATAAGTAGTAGGATATATGTATAAAAGTCCAAAGAGGGAAGAAGAGGGAGCAGGGGGGCTGAGGGCAAAGGGAGAGGGGATATCATGGGTCACAGAGCTGCTTGGTGGGCAGAGGGAGGGGGTGGAGGAGTTAGGAAAGATCTAATGGGGACATGAAAGGATGGAGTGATAGTGGGCATAGATCAATGATGTTTGGTTTTATAAAATGCAACATATGGAAATGATAATCTGAAACACAATGTGAATGAAAGAATGTGTGAAGTATTTAAGTGAAACACATTATATATGAATTTTACATGCAAACCAATATAATTTAAAAAATTGAGAAAAAACCATATAGGTAAGAAAATGTTTCCTAATTGTATATAGTTATAACCATATCTGAGGATGAATAGCAATTTATGATAATTATAGCTACAATTCTTGAGCATTTATTATATGTTCATCTTCTCAGTGGGTGTGCAGCTATTGAGGATGACAAGGGAAGAGTTTGAAAAGAAAATAGGCTAGAGGCTTAAGGCCGACTTGATCTAAGTTCCATTTCTCCTGGGTGAAGATTCTCACCTTGTTCTCTCTCCTAGTCATCCAGTTTGGCTTTGTCACCCTCTTTGTGGCCTCCTTTCCTCTGGCTCCCGTGTTTGCCCTCCTCAACAATGTCATCGAAGTTCGGCTTGATGCAAAGAAATTTGTTACTGAACTAAGAAGGCCAGATGCTGTGAGAACCAAAGATATCGGTATGTCTCCCACTTTCAAGCTGTGTCTCTTCTCCCTCCCTCCCTCTTTCCCTCCCTCCCTCCGTCCCTCTTGCCTCCCCTACCTGATCTCTCACCACTGTCCCCACACCGTCAGAGATCATTGTGGTTGCAGAAAGTCCTTGCCTTTTGATCCCATTGAGTTGCTCATTCTCAGGTTCTGGAGGCCTTGCAAGGACACTATAAATGTCCATAAATGGCTTTCCTACCTCCAGACATGGGGGACCTTAGGTGTTCCAGACAAGCCTATTCCTAGGGAGCCGTGAAAGCCTCCCCTGGTAACTTGCCTACAAAATGTTATCCTGAGCAATGTCTCCACTGGACCAGGAGCGGGAGTGAGCCAGAAATCTTCCTTTCTGTCTTACAGGAATTTGGTTTGACATTCTTTCTGGAATTGGCAAGTTCTCCGTTATCATCAATGTAAGTGCTTCATCCACAACACTCGGACTCTGTGAAGAAGGGCTTACCAGAGATGGGGTGTTCCAAGAAGCATCAGAGCTTCTTACCTTCTAGTCACCATTTCCATTTTGAACTTAATTTAAGTCGACCTGCATGCGTGGTGCTGTCACCAAAACTGTGCGATTACTTTACAAATTTCCCTTGAGGGAGGCCATTAGCCATCAGAATGCATACCTTGGCCTTACAAGTCAAAATATGATCTTTCCTCAGAACCAAGAATAATCAGGAAAGAATGTCATATATCTATCCATCTCTTAGGGAGCTCTGATGACTTAGTGGTAAGGAACTGTGCTGTCAACACAAAGTTATGTGGTTTGAATCTACCAAGTGTTCCACTAGAGAAAGATGACCACTCTCCTCTAGTGAAATCATTTGCCTCTGAAAGGTCAGCTATGTATCAGTTCCAACCCTATGGGATACAACAACATCCATCTCTTATGAGCCTAGATAATACAATGTTACGCACTCAGTGGTTAAGGAAAAGTCAGTAATTCTAAGCCACCAGCTGTTCTTTGGGAGAAAAATGTGGCCACCTCCTGCTATTAAAAAATATATTGCCTACAAAACCTTGCATACAGTTCTCCTCTGTCTTGTAAGGTTGCTGTCAGTTAGAATGGACTCGAGAGCAACAGGTTGGGTTTTATTGTATCCATATCTGTCCTTTGTTTTTCTGCTTCTGAGCTAAACAATACATGGAACATTGCCCAGGCTGCAGTTCCTAATTACAGTGCCTCTAACTTATCAATATAAAGTCTTTATTCCCAGACACTCTGGTTCTGCATAAATTGATAGGACATGAAAGGAGACAGGTCTTACCTCACCGATTCTGGTTCTGAGTTAACTCCTTGTTGCTGTTGTTGTGTGCCGTTGAGTCAGAACCGACCCATAGCTGACCCTCCAGCAGGATTGCAGAGGCAGTAAATCACATGGGAGGAGATTGCCCATCCTTCTCCTGTGGAGCAGCTGATGGATTCAAGCCACGTGCTTTCAGGATTGCAGCACAGCTTCTTAACCACTGGGCCACCAGAGAACCATCAAATAGGTGTAGAGGTGTGGAGAGGCAGGAAGAGTCAGCCTGTTCCATTTTGATCTTAGCTAGAAATGCTTTGGATGTAAGAAGCACACTTCTTAAAGTACAGTTTGGGAAATAGATCAGTAGTTACTCTGAAGTTATGCCTACTTGAAAGAGACCGTAGGTATTAATCACTTTGCATGCATATAGCAGAAGAGCATCATGTTTTACTTCTCTGGTCTCTTGAAGACATGTTTACTTCTCTGTAAAATACGAGATAATAATAGTACCCTCAAAACAGGATCACTGTGGAAATTAAATGGGATGATAAACAGACATAGAGTTAGTCCTCAGTAAAGAAAAAAAAATCATAGAGTAGCTGTGCTTATCATAAATATATCATCCATCCTCAAATATGGTTGTAGCTGTCTGTGCTCACATATACATTTTTTTACTTATATATATATTGTAAAGGCCTTTAATTGTTGGTGCAGAATAGAGTATAAACACCTGCCAAAAAGATTTAAGGTTTTCTTTGTAGAAAGTACCTCTGCATTCAAGCACGTAATCCTTCATTTGTTGTTTAGCTTGCTCTGGAGACATTTACAGGGCACTTCGATGGGCCAGACACTATGCTGGCTATGCTTAGCTTCATGAAGCAGGATCCCCTCTCTTTCTATGTCTCAATTTTCCCAAGTAAAATGGACAAAAAATTATGTACTTCTTTAAGATGATGTACTAAAAAGTTTTTTCCAGATAGTGATCAAGTTTAGGAAACTGTAATTGACCTTCTTGGTGTCCCTCAGAAGTGCTTATACATTGGCATTTAATTTCCTTGCTCATTATGAAGAAATTGATGACACCCTCACCAGCATAGATGAGTTTCTCAGGAAATCTTCAACTAGATTTGGTTTGGCCAACACAGCAGCAATCCCGTTATCACAGAGGTAGCTCAATCCTTCCAACACCAAAGAGTCCAGACTGGCTTAGCTTCCTTTGTTGTAGTGATTGTGACAGCTACTGTCTGGCAGGTTTACTTAGACATATCAGAAATGGAAAAGGAGCAAATCAGCAGCAAATCAGGGACCAAGACGATGAGCCTGGAGTGTGTTCTTCCCTGCCAGGGCAGCACATCTGGATGGGGAGCCCAAGGGTGGACCATCTTGGAGTTGGATGCACTGTGAGGATCAGGACAGCATCCTTCCTGGCCTCTTCTCAGATGATTGTGGTTCTTTCCCTCAGGCTTTTGTCATCGCAGTCACCTCCGACTTCATCCCTCGCCTTGTGTACCAGTACTCCTATAGTCACAATGGAACTCTGCATGGCTTTGTAAATCACACCCTCTCCTTCTTCAACGTCAGCCAACTGAAGGAAGGAACGCAGCCAGAAAACTCACAGTTTGGCCAGGATGTCCAATTCTGCAGGTAAAATAATTGGGAGAAGAGGGACTGAGGACTAGAAGAGTAAATCAGATTTGTGAGGTCACCAGATTATTTTTGAGGTGATCTAGAATAGCTCATTCTTCTTTCCCTCTTTCACCCCAGAACCCCAGTAAAACCAAATTCATTATGTAAACAAATATTTAAGTGTCTTTAATGAAACACTATGACCGAAAGCTCTGGTGGCTTAGTCCATATAGAGTTATGTTGCCAACTCAAAGCCTGCAGTGAATCCTCTGGTGGCTCCTAGGCACAAAGGCAGGAAGTCTCCTCCTTTGCACCTTTTAACTTCAGAAACCCAGTGGAAGATTGCTGTGAGTTAAAACCTTCCTGATGGCACTGAACTTGAGTTTATGGAACAAAGGAAGAACTATATAGAACCTTCTTTTACCTTCAAGGGACTTGTGGTTTGGTTGAGAAGTAAACAAGTAGAGACAGGAAATAGACAGTCATTCAGTGCTTGTATGTTGTGTAGACTAAGAATATTATGGATGTTTAGAGAGTGGAAGCACCAAGAATTACAGCATAGAAAGGAGAACATTCTAGCTGGAGAGTTAGCATGAACAAAATCAGCAGGGTGGGGGATGAATTTGAGCTCTTAGAGAAACACTTAGAGGCTAGTAATGCAGCTAGCAAGGAGAGTGCTTGGGAAATGAAATTTAAAATCTATGTGGAAATGTCTAAGACAGCGTAAGCTGATAATGTTGAATTTCAGTAGATAGAAAGAGTGGTCCATAAAATCAGACAGAGGTTTTTCTATGAGACAATAGAAAGATATTTACCTTTTTAGTGCCAGGGCTTAAAGGTTAGAATTGAGGAGGATTGAGTAGAATTGCTAGAACTCTGGGAGCAGCACTGACTTGCTGCCTCACCCAGGGATACACTATGGTGAACATAGGCTAAGGTGGTAGGACTAAGAGGAAGGGCAAAAATGAGCGATTCATATAACACACTGCAAATCTGGTGACGTAGAAGAGAATCTGAATTCGAGATGTCTGCAGTGTTTGGGCTCTAGTCTGAAACTAGTAGTAGTATTGAATTCCCATACTCTCAACTCTATTTCAGTTAATACTGGCTATATTTTAAAGCTCTTGAAGGCTTCCAGCAATGACAGACTAATATCACTAGTCTGTGTTCAAGTCCAGTAGAGGCAAAACTTCAAAACTATTTTCCAATGATCCCAGCAAAGGTCTCATTGTCACCTCTTAGCCAGGATCAATACACACTTACTTTGAATTAATCACTGTAGCCATTGGACTGTGATGCTCTTGATGGTCAAGTCTGAATCCTTTGGGAATGGGAATGTGAGGTAAAATCATCTCCATTGGAAGCGCTTGCCCTTGGAGTAGTCCTGTAATAGAGAATCAAGGTGAAAGTAAAAGTAAATGGACAAGCACCAGGGGTGAGTGAAGCAAGATGGGTCAAAGTCAGAGTCATGGTCCTGAGGCAGCAAGAAGGATGAAAGGTCTAAACATGTAAGGACAAGAAAAGGAAATACGCTCCTCCTATTCCAACCAGACTGGGGGAAAAGAAGAAAATGAAGGGACCAAAAGCTGCCAGCAAACTGCCACTGGTGACACCACATACTCTGTGCCAATTAAAATTACTGATGCTGCAAAGAACTGAAGACTATCTTCCCGTGGAGGAAGAATTCATTAGAAATAAGGAGCTAATGAAGCCACTAGAAAAAAATCAAGAGGAGGAGAGGTCAAAGGTGAATGATCTGTGGGAGACCCCAATGTCAGCCAGAATGTTGGAGGAGATCATTGACGACAACCACACCATTGTGTCCACATCCATGGGCTCGGAGCACTACATTAGCATTCTTTCATTTGTGGACAAGGATGTCCTGGAGCCAGGCTGTTCTGTCCTGTTCAGCTACCAAGTGCATGTAGTGATTGGGGTGCTGATGGAGAACACCCGCCCCCTGTCACAGTGATGAAGGTGGAAATGGCCCCCCAGGAGACCTATGCAGACACTGGGGGATTGGACAACCAAATTGAGGAAAATAAGGAATCTGTGGCACCGCCTCTTACTCCTCCTGAGTATTATGAAAAAATGCGCCTCAAGCCCTCGGAGGGAGTCATTCTCTATGGCCCGCCTGGCACAGGTGAAACATTACTAGCCAAAGCAGTAGCAAACCAAACCTCGACCATTTTCCTGAGAGTGGTTGGCTCTGAACTTGTACAGAAGTACCTGGGCAACAGGCCCAAGCTCATGCGGGAGTTGTTCCCAGTGGCCAAGGAGCACACCTCATCCATCATTTTTATAGATGAGAGCGATGCGCTTGGGACAAAAAGATGATAGGACTCAAATTCTGATGGGGAGAGAGAGATCCAGCGAACAATGCTGCAACTCTGAAACCAGTTGGAAGGATTTAATTCAAGGGAAGATGTGAAAGTTACTATGGCCACAAACTGGATAGAAACCTTAGATCCAACACTTATCAGACCAGGCCACATTGACAGGAAGATCAAGTTCCTCCTGCCCAATGAGAAGATGAAGAAGAGCATCTTTCAGATTCACACAAGCAGGATGACCTTGGCCAATGATGTAACCTTCGATGACATTATCAGGCCTAAAGATGACCTCTCTGGAGCTGACATCAAGGTGATCTGCACAGAAGCTGGACTCATGGCCTTGAGAAAACAGAGAATGCAAGTCACAAACGAAGACTTAAAAAAAATCCCAAGAAAATATTATCTATAAGAAATAAGAACGCACCCCCGAGGGGCTCTATCTCCGGGCAAACATGTACCCTGGACAAAAGCCCAGAGGATACATATCCCTGCTGAGTTTTAGTTAGCAAACACTACATACCCAGCAGGCTGCTGCATCTGTTCCAATAAAGCTACTCTTTCGGAGACCCTCTGTCCTCTTTCCAGAGTCTCCACTCTGCCACCCAGCAGCCACCTGGGGGGGGGGGGTCAGGGGTTGGGAACCCCTCAGGCTGGTGGTCACAGGAGCACAGACCATGCCTATGGTCCCCCAACCCAGCGATGAGAGTTGTGCGGCAGTGATTAATGTGAGAGAGCAATCTTGACCATGAACCAAGAATCTTTGTTGTTAAATAATAAAGGCTGAGCTAACAACAACAACAACAATGGCCAAAATAACAAATGTTCAGGACACCAGGTATTGGTGCAGCCTTTTGCATGTCCATCTCCAGAATCACTGTATTTCCAAGTCGGTGTAAAGTCCTGGTAATTATCTCTCCATTGTGTCCATGGAGGGAGGTGAGATAGTCTATGGCCTTCTTTTAGAACAGTTAAGTTTTCATCTTTGTAATTGACAACATACAGAGCAGAACATATACACCAATCTCAAACCATCTATAGGTACAATACTGTGAGATTGATTACATTCTTCAAGTTACACAGCCATCCTCACCTTCTTTTTCCAAGTTTTCCTCTTCCATTAACGTGAACTCCCTGGTCCAGGAGCTTCCCATCTCATCTTTTGAGTTGCTTTTATCAATTTGATCTAGTAAAACTATATTTTAATTGTTCTTTTTAAACTACTAACTTGGAGAGTCTCTAGGGAGTTGCACTGCTGCCCCAAAGATGGTTCTCTAAGGAGTCTGAATCTACCAATCCGCTCCAAGGTAGTAAGATGGGCAGTCTTCCCCCAGGCAATTTACAGCCTCAGAAAACCAATGGAGGGCCAACTACAGGTTGGTTCTTATTCACCAATAGTAAGTTGGGTTGAGAAGTTCCAATAAAGTAACTGCATGGAGCTATTTGAACTCTTTGAAAGGAGCCTTCCTCCTAACCCAGACCATAGTGTTTAGGGCCAGTTTCCAGAGAGATGAGACCTAAAAAATGAACAGTACATGAATGTACAGAATCGTGTTTCAAGTCCTCATTCACCTGACCAAGTCAGGTGGTTAAGTAGAGTGGGGAGGGATGATGGGAGTTAGAGGATAAGGAACACAGGTGTCCAGTGGTAAAAGAGGTTGAGAGAAAGTAATGTCCTCTAGATGGAGGGGCTAATGTGTGCTCATGTCCCCCAGTAAGACAGTTTGACTGCTTGGTAATGACCATAGGTAGCTGGGGCTAGAGAAAAGGGAGTAAACTATGAAAGGAAACTGGAAGATGAGGCAAGAGTCAAATCAAGAACATACAGTTCAAATTGAGGAGAGCAGAAGGCCAGTGAGAAGGCTTGAGAGAATGATAAGAGCAAGTGTTTACTTTGTCATGAACTCTCAGATTACAGTGTGAAGAGTATGGAGTACTGAGGGTCACATTTGAAATAAAGAGATGCCCTGCTTAATCACATAGGCAGATGTCTAGAGATTAAGTTTGGCATATAATCTACATATGACATGAAATAGGTGTATTAGGTAGACTGCATTTACAAAATTGGCAAAGATTGTTGATGGCAGGTCGATCCTCTTTTTGGTATCATTTTGTGCTGATGAATGCGTCAGATCACCAAATCTCGGGAAGTTTAGGGAGTGAGGACATAAACTCTGATGGCATATTTCAAAACTAGAAAGTGTAAGTAGCTGTAAGAAGTGAATCAGGAGTGGGGAAGAGAGGAGGGACTGTGATAGAGATACTGTGAGAAACAGAGACATAGAGACGGAGACAGGCATGTGCTCCACAGCCATTTTCAGAGTATGGAGCTGCTTCTGTGGTGGGAAATAAACTGTTTGCCCTGATTTTCTGGCAAATAGTGTTGGGAACATGATGACCCTTTATATTCTTAACTTCTAATGACCTCTGGAGATAAATGTGGTCAAGTAAAACCAAGGTCTTGGGCTCCAACCCCGCCTCGCCAGGGATAGAGGTATCTTAAAAATAGCAATAAAAGTTAGGAAAAGGCTCCAGCTGCCCATTTGAGATGCATTCCCAGCATTCTTGGAGCAACATTGGCCACAGCCATCTAACAGCTCTGGCAGGGCCACTCCATAAACAGCCCTGTGACGTCAATCTCCAGACATGATTAGTGACCATTAGACTGGGTCGAAGGGCCACCACATC